GCTGAAAGAGACTAAAGATAAGACCTAAATAGATGGAAAGATGTTCTGTGCTCATGAACTGGAAGACTTAATACAGTCAAGATGGCAGTACTACCCAAAGCAATCTACAGATAAAACATGATCCCAATAAAAATTCCAACAATATTCTTTACAGAAATGGAAAAACTAATACTCAATTTTATATGAAAAGACAAGAAACCCCGAATAGCCAAAGCAATTTGGAAGACGAAGAACGAAGTAAGAGGCCTCATACTCCCTGAGTTCAAAACATATTACTCAGCCACAGTGATAAAAACAGACTGGTAGTGTAATGGTAGACACATTGCCAATGGAATAGAATTGAAAATTCAGATATAAATCCAAGCATCATGGTTAATTCATTTTTGACGAAGGAGCCAAATCCACTCAATGGAGGAAAGAATACTCTCTTCAACAAATGGTGCTGGTAGAACTGAATTTCCACATGCAGAAAAATGAAACAAGATCCATGCCTCACACCATATAGAAAAACTAATTCAAAATGGATCAAAGACCTAAATGTTAAATCTAATACCATAAAGTTCTTTGAAGAACATACAGGGGCAAAGCTTTGGGACCTAATTTTTTTCAGTGATAGATTAACAAACACAAGAAACAATGCTAAGCAACAGAAACAAAATAGACAACTGGGCCCTCATAAAAGTTAACTTCCGAAACATCTTGGAACATAGATGAACCTGGAGGATATTACGTTGAGTGAAATGAGTCAATCACAAAAAACAAAACAAAACCAAATACTGTATGTTCTCAATTTTATGAAATGACATGAACAGGTAAATATACAAAAATTAATGTTCATTAGTGGTTACCACAGATGGGTTTCACTCTCTAGATGGTAGACACTTGTTATTTTTGGTAAGGGAAAGGTAACACTGAATGAGGGTGAATGAAGTGTACACAGCTTGACGAAGGTAAATTATGTTACTAAAATGTACACAAGAAAAAAGGACCTATTGATAATTGCTATGGCATGTATAATTTTGAAACAACAACAACAACAACCAAAAAATATATGCGAATATATATGTATGTATGTAGGCATATATGTTTATAGGTATGTAAATATATGTGTATATATCAGAGTATGCAGAAGCATATGTATATGCATTTATATGACTGTGCACATATATTGGTATATACAATAAAATACATAGGGGGCACAGTTACGGATACTTCTTAGACATAACCAAATACCTCATGGGATTGGTTTTCTGGGTTTGAAGGATTAAGACCATAGACTCATGGGACAGCTTGTCAGTTGGCATAATATAGCTCATATAGTTACGTTCTACATCCTAGTTTGGTGAGTAGTGTCTGGGGTCTTAAAAGCTTGTGATCGGCCATCTAAGAAACAACTATTGGTCTCTACTCGTCCAGAGCAAAAGAGAAAGAAGGAAACCAAACACTCAAAAAACAAAGTAGTCTACAGGACTAATAGTCTGCACAAATCAAGGCCTCATCTACCCTGAGACCAGAAGAACTAGATGGTGCCCTGCTACCACTGCTGACCATTCTAATCACGGCCATAAAAGATGGACCCTGATGGAATGAAAGAAAAATGTGCAACAGAACCTCAAATTCCTCAACAAACAAACCAAAAACAGACTGACTGATCTGGTTGAGACTGGAGGACTCCCCGAGACTATTGTCCTGAGATACCCTTTAAACTTGGAACTGAAACTAACCTGAGGTCACCTTTTAGCTAAGTAAGAGACTGGCTCACAGAATAATAAATATCACTGGTAAGTACTGTGCTTCTTTAAAAAAAATCGGTATGAGACCAAATGGTCAACAGTTACTTCAAAACAATAACAAGAATGTAAGGGGCAGGGAAAGTAGATTAATGGAAACGGAACCACTAGAAAGAATAACGAGAATGTTCATGTGTTGCGAAGAAGGTAACCAATGTCACTGAATAATTTGTGTAGAAATTGTTGAATGGGAACCTAAACTGCTGTGTAAACCTTCACAATAATTTTTTTTTTTTTTTAAATGATGTAACTGTCTATTTTTCCATCGTCCACTGAAGTTGATACAAGATGCAGTGGACAGAATGAGATTTCTGGAACTGAAGTTTTGTTGAGATGGAGAGGAGTTACTTTTCACTGAGCAGACAGTGGTACAGGATTGATAGGGGACTTGCAGGCTCCTCATGATCACTTTTAGCCTTAGGATCCTTCTGTGTGTCTCCCAGTTCTGATGGGATCATGGCACTTAAAAGCCCATTCAGAGCTCTTCCCAATTTTTCTCTGCTGGATATTTAAGAAAGCTCCTCCAGTTGCTTTATGTCCCTCTCATGCCTAGGTTCAACAACTAAGTATTCTTATACATTTGGACTTTACATTTGTACAGTGCTTTGTGATTTTTAATGTTTTATTTAATCCCTGTGAAACAGTCGAATAGGTATTATAGTGTCTATTTTGGAGATGAGGAAACTGAAGCTCAGAAAAGTGACAGATAGAGCGGGGACTCGAATCCAGGTGTTCAGACTTACAGTCCAGTGTGGGTCTGGGAGGATCAAGGGGGCAGCTGATTTTATCGCAAAGATCCCACTTCTTTGCACCCTTTCCCTACCTTGCCTCATAGCTGACAGGAGAAGATTTATGCCTTGTACATCTCAGTTCTTTCCAAGTCAGTAAATATGTGCCTGCTAAGTATTAGGTCACTCAGAACTATCTAAAATCAATTCTGAGGGTGTGTAGTAACAGCTTTGTTATATGAACTTCTGTAGTAGAGACTATTAATTAAAATAAATGGGCCATAAACCAGGACTTGGCAGTGTTTTTGATTCTCAGGGATTTTCGTCATAGTAAGATTTTACCTAGGCCTTCTTTACTGTGTCCCAACAACCAAGAATGTGCAATGGTAATACAACTTGTTATAGAGGGAGTATTTGTATTTTTTTTTTTTAATGTAAAAGGACTGCATAAAGTGTGATGTTTAAGCAGAGTCTTCTTGTACAAAGCCCTTAAGCTTTGCAGGGTAACTCTTACTCTGTTTTTTTCAAGAAATCAGATCAGGAATCCAAAATAAGAATAGCCTGTTTGAATGTAGTCTTCTGAATTTAGCACTGATTCAGAATCAAAACATAACAAAAAAACATTTTACTAGGTTACTTTTTGGTAAATAATAGAATTGAAGACTCATTTACTTGTTCTTTACAGTGTACTTAAAACATTAAATACATACATTTTCATTTTGACACTTGAGCTCAAAGGCCTCCTGTTGTTGCTCAGGGATGTGATACTGTATTGAGTGTGACCTTTTCATTGTTCAGGTTAATTTGATGAATTTACCCAGGGCTGGGTTATATATTTCCTACATCTCAGGAAACCCGAGAGGTCTAGAAGCCCCAGATCATTCTCAGGGTGTGGTTTGCTTGAGTAGCAAGACACTGCTTGCTGAGCCCCTTGTTTTTAGAAACAGGAAGGTATTCTCCCCAAGAGGAGAGGCTTTAGGACTGGGTGTGCAGAGCATGCCTCTGGGTCCTTGTCAACATTGGCCCCCTCTGCGAGCTGGACTCAGGATGCCCTGTAGCCTTGCCTCACTGCTCACTCCAGAGGGTGAAGGTGGAGACAGACCAGCCCTTCCAGAGCTAATGGGTATGTTCTGGGGCTCTGAAAAGTGGGGCAATTTAGGAGCAAAGAGTGTGGCATTTGGCAGGGATTCCAGTTTCTTATCTGAAGTATCAGCATCACTGCATGTTCCAGCAACTGTTCAGCCCTTCGACAGCCAGGAGTTGAAGGAGGGGAGGGAAGGGAAGAGAGAGAATGGAGGATTGGCTTTAAGTAAGTAGGTCATTTCCCCATTTACCAGTTGGGTTGGGTTATTGAGGTCCCAGAAAGGGAGATGTGCTGAGTTTGGATTGGAAGCAAGACGAAAAGGAAGCTAGAGGTCACCTGCGTAAGAATCTCGGCGTACGTCTGTAGAAGCTGCGCTGCCTGCACCCTCATCTGCTGTCTCAGCACTTGTTAATTGTACTTACTGAATCCATAACTCACTTCTCTTGGCTCCTGTAACAATTCACGGTTGGAAATGCAGATGGTTCCTTGTATATGAACATTGGGTAGTCATCCCCCTGACTCTCAGACTTGCCTGAGCAAATGTGGGATGTTGTATATATGCATCGATAGAGGATTGCAGACATGAAAGGTAAACAGCGAACAGTTGGGAGCATTTATACATCTGCCAGACTTTCTGTGGCAGGTGTTCCCATAAATGGGCAACGAACTACTGCCTCTTCACCTCCTACAGGGAAGACTTTTGGGGGAAAGATCATGGCAAGAAGCAAGGGTTAAGAAAATAGTAGTACTTCACCATGCTTGATTTTCTGTCTGGGAAAGGCGAACTGGGGTTTGAAGGGGCAGTCTTCTGTGACCTTGTCCAATTGGTCTGAACCTGCAGGTGGTGGGGAGAGGAGCCCAGTGTGGGTAGTGGGAAGGCTTACTTCCCACTTAGGACACTTGGCTTGGACCAAGGGGTCAGCATACAATATAAATACAAAGTTTTGCCCAGAAGTATTGAAGACGTTCTAAACTTCGTGCTCCATTTGACCACAGTTTAGGCCTCTTGGGCTCTTTCTGTTTAAAATGTGGTGCCAGGTATTTGAGGAGGCTCAGGGGGAAGTGGGATATCTTTGAGCTCAGCTTCCTGGTGGGAGGCACCAAGAGTCCCTCCGTGACACCACAGTTTTTGGCCTAGACCCCTTGAGATTGCTGTCATACTGAAGGGAGCTCATTTTCTAAGACATGATGCATGTGTGTTGGTTGACATCCACAGCCTGCTTAGGAAGGCACTGTCATACATTCTGTACACGTGTGTGGCTCCTGTTGCTGTGCTAATGTGGCTGTACTCGATGCTGTGTGTCCTGCCACAAGTCTGTTGTGCAGCAGGGCAGACGGCTCGTGATGCGGGTCCCCAAGGATGCCCTGACTTGTGCTTGTTCTTTTTGCCCCCCTCAGAGAATTTTCAAAGGAAAGAGAGAAGGCTAAAGCACGGGGAGATTTCCAGAAGCTCCGAGAGAAGCAGCAGCTGGAAGAGGATCTAAAGGGCTACTTGGATTGGATTACCCAAGCAGAAGATATTGATCCTGAGAATGAGGAAGAAGGAGGAGAAGAAGGCAAACGAAATAGTATGTAGTGCCCTTCCTACTCTTACTAGACAGGCACTTCTCACCTCTGACTCAGTCTGTGAGACGGACAGCCTCCTCTCAGCCATCCAGTTCCTTTTGTCTGCACATATGATAGAACATGTGTATTTACCCTGACTGAGGTTTGGGGTTTGGGTTCACATTTAGTAATGTGGCTTTATAGTTGAGGATGGTCAGACAGGCTCGCTGTTCACTGTTCGCCTGGGGGATTCAGTAAGCCCTTTTCTGTGTGGGCGGAGGGGCTGGTAAGACAGGTATTCATCCTGCACCACAGGAGAGGAAGTTGTAATTTCCTTCACCTCAGAGTGAACTTGTTATTGGGCACGGGTTGGAAGAGCAGGGTCCTTCTAGACCTTATGCTACCTGAGTGGTTCGTTCCCATCTGTGCTATCCTTAGGAAGCCATTGGAGGCTGTGAGGGGCTGGGAAGAAACCAGTTCACCCTTCCAGGCAGTTGTTCAGAGGCATGAGATTCAGTAATGGCTGCTTTGGAGCCCATCTACCCACTTAGTACCCCACACTGGGTACCCTAGAACACTGTCTATAGTAAGCAGAGCCTGAAGCTCACTCAGCCACAGAAATTAATTGCCGTTGTCAAACAAAGTGTCTCCTTTGTCATGTACCTTTCCTGCAGACATGCTCTTACTCTTCTTGGGGCCATCTGTACCTCAGGCAAAAGTGGAAATCGAAATGCTGCAGTGGGCTTGACTAAGGTGTTTGATTTTTGAAACAAATCTCAAGTAGTTCACGTAAGGACAGAGAACAAATTTCAAGGGCACACATCCATTGAGAGGCCTGGGAAATGAGTTAGCCCGACTTTGTAGAAGGCTGAGCGAGTCTCCACTTGGGCAGGGCACCTCTGACGCCGTGTGTTTGTTTAGCAAGGTTGTGCTGACTACCAGGAGAAACTCTGAGGTGGAGAGAATGTGGTTTGTCCCCTTAGGAGACTTGCTGCCTTCTAGGGAAGGTCAGGCCTGCAGCACAAGGAGACAGATGTGGGTCACAGGAGGAGGCAGACAGTGTGCTGTGGGAGCTGAGACGAGGAGTTGCTGGCTGCTGGACCTAGGAGAGAGCCATGGGGGGTGTTTAATCTGGGCCTTTAAAGATGGATGGGGCTGAGGTATGGCACAGTGCAGTGGCAGGAAAAACATTCTGACCCAAGAGAATGGCATGAGCAAGGACATGGAGGTGCACAGACACAGGCCCCGGGAGGGAACAGTGGGTTGTTCCATTTGGCTGGAGCACAGAGGGCCTGCGTGTTGGAGTGAGTTGAAGCAGGACGGGTGGGCCAGGCAAATTTGTGCATCTTAGAGACAGTGGAATGTGGGAGCTGAGGCTGAGAGACCGCGGTGAAAGGACTCCTGGTTGAGGTGGCCTTTATATTTCTTTTAGCCTGAGACTCAGCCTGAGCTTCCCTGGGGAGTGAACGTTCTCTGTCACTGCTGATGCATAAGGTGGAGTCAAAGCTGTGTGCTAAGGTGTGTGTGCTTCTCTGGGGGAACCAGCAGAGCACAGGCCCCTCTCTTCTCCTCCCCCTCCCTGCTTCTTCCCAAGCCCGCGCCCACTGCTGGCTCAGGGAAGAGGCCCTCAGTTAGCCAGGGGTTCACCAGCTGAGGATGAGGACATCTGCTGCTAGGAAACTGTGGGAGGATTTCTAGAGTTGACTTTGTTTGTTGAATATGAGATTGGAATTTCTAAATGGACATTCATTTGAATTCCAGACTCAGTGATGTACCCTCTGGGTGATTAGACAGACAGCTCTCTCTTGGGCGTTTGAGCCGACCCGAATCCCTGTGGCCTTCCGCGGGGCTCTGCACCTACTGTCTTGCCAGCCCTCAGCCATTCAGGTGCAGTGTGGTCCCTCTTTACTTCCAAACTGCAGCTTTGATGCTAACCTCTGGAGGCCCGCTAACTGTCTGCCTCACCGCTCCTAAGCCCAGCATGCAGCCTGTGATGTGCACACCCGGGAGAGTACTGTTCCTTCTTCCGAGCAGGGTGCCTTCCTTGGCTGGTTTTGAAAGGGAGCTGAGGCCCCCTTGCAGACTGATATCCTTTCATCTGGTTATTGCTTCACCTGTAGAAATAGGCAGGGATCCAAGATCTAGTATTCCTAGCATCAGTTGTGGGGTTTGCGATGGTTTCTCTGGCCCGTGATTTGAGGAGTGAGGATTTTCACAGGACTTGAGGTGGTGCCTTCTGGTAGCACTAAGAGCTCAGTATTTTATCTTGGCCCAGCATTTCCGGCGTTCTGTGAGAGTCTGTAAAGAAGCTGAGCAGGTAATGGCAAAGTCGGTGCCTCTGCCTTTTGTAGAACTTGCCATGGAAGGAAGGCAGAGAAGCCCTAGTATAAGACAGAGTGGAGAAGCTGGCACTGAAATCCAGGCCCAGATGCATGCTGTGGGAGCTGAGGAGGGTGCAGTCGATGCCGGATGGTGGGAGTGAGTGGGTGGGTGGGTGGGAACACAAGGAAGGCTGCACAGCAGAGGTGGCATTCCTGCTGAGCTCTGAGGAATGAGCAGTCTTCGACTACAGAGGTGGTGAGGGCTTTTCAGGCTGAGGAAATGGCATGAACAAGGTGCGGAGGATTACAAATGTTCTAGGCTTTTGAATGCATTATTTAGTAGTATAATCAAGCAAAGAAAGCCCATTTAAAAGTCAAAGATTTTCAGAATTAACTTTGTTGCTGGGCCTGCAAACCCCATAAAGCTGCACTGTATCTTCGGAACATCAGCATTATGGTTTCTGCAACGCACAGTGATGTGTGACTCAAAATGATTATCTAGCTTAGTGTCTGATCCAGAATAGCAAGTATTTTTGTGGTGCACCTTGTTCTTTATTGAGCTCATTTTGCCAGGTGCTGGAGTTGCCTGTGGAGCAAGGCTCACTCACAGTGTTTCCAAGTCATCAGATTTCCAGAGCCTTGACAATTAGGGTTTTAAATAAACACATAATTCCTAGTCTGGGCAAACCACATTGAGATTTAACTGACCTCCTGATGAGGAGGAGGCGAACCTCCCTGAATATAGACCTTGGCAGCCCAGGCCTTCTGGAGACAGCAGTGCTGTTGGGGTTTCCCTGGAGCCTCCTGTGGCTGACAGCCTGTCTTAGTCATCCAGTGCTGCTATAACAGAAATACTACAAGTGGATGGCTTTAACAAAGAGAAATTTATTTTCTCACAGTCTAGTAGGCTAGAAGTCCAAATTCAGGGTGCCAGCTCCAGGGAAAGGCTTTCCCTCTGTCAGCTCTGGGAGAAGGTCCTTGTTGTCATCAATCTTTCCCTGGACTAGGAGTTTCTCTGCGCAGGAACTTCGGTTCCAAGGACACACTGTGCTCCCGGCACTGCTTTCTTGGTGGTATGAGGTCCCCAAGTCTCTGCTTGCTTCCCTTTCCTTTTATGTCATGTGAGATAAAAGGTGGTGCAGGTCACACTGCAGGAAAACTCCCTTTACATTGGATCAGGGATGTGACCTTAGTAAGGGTGTTATAATCCCACTCTAATCCTCTTTAACATAAAATTACAATCGCAAAATGGAGGACAACCACACAGTACTGGGAATCATGGACCAGCCAAATTGATACACACATTTTTGGGGGGACATAATTTAATCCATGACACAGCTGCTTTCTTCTTGTCATGGCCAGAAAGCCACAGAGGAGAGGGTGTCATCAAAGGCCCATGTGGTCCTCCTAACCAAACAAACCATAGTTGATTTACCACCTGCATATTCCAAGCACTTAGGTGCTCTCAGGTGTTGATGGTCTGTTGCTGTCAGGGACCTGCCTCTGTGCATCTGAACTAGCAGGAAGTGAAAGTATGGTCTTAGCATCGTCCCTGGGTATGTGAGATCCACTCCCTACATCTTACACCCCAGCCCTGCTCCTGTGTGATCTCTGGGGATGGGGTGTTGGACTGCCTTGGGCTCCTGACTTCATCCACAATGGCTAGTTGTCCTTTTCAGCTGGGTCCTGGATATGCAGTGTCCTCCCACGTATCGAGGAATTAAGCGATGCTGTGACAGGAACCCTTCCTGGTGGCTGAGCCTCAGCCTAGATGAGCAAAGGAGGGTATAGGGAGTTATTACTAACAGCAGATGTCCATGAGCCCACAGGAGCACAGCCTTGGGCTGGATGGCGTTTTGATGCCCCTTCTCTGGAGTTGGCTGCAGTTGAGTTTTGTGATTTGGAATTTGGATTTTAGTGTTAGGCAGATTACCCAGCATCTCTGAGCCACAGACTCCTTGTCTTCAAGGAGGGGGATAAAAGTATCTACTCATGGGGTTATTGTGAGGGTTCAGAGTTCAATAACTTGGAGAAATTATTGTAGCGGAAATAGCACTTGCTGTTGTTGTCAACAGAAACGAATAAAACTTGACCTAAACAGAATATTTTTTGCAGATTCTACCAGACCTTTTACCAACCTCAGGGTGAGACCTCTTTTAGGGTCACTTCCCTACATTTTTTTCCGTTCAGAAGCTATAAGGTTTTCAGGTACTGATGGCAAACAAACCTGGCCGTTGTCAAGACATGGTAGCTCAGCTTTCTGGCACCTGAAGTCCATTTCTAGTTTGTCGGTGCTTGCTGTCAGAGAACAGACGTCAAACCAAGTACTTGGAGATTCATTCACATTATCTTCTCTTCTGATCTACTAAATGTCACTGCCTGCATCTGTGGGTCCCATTGCTGGCTGTCCGTTAGGCTCACCTGGGGAGCTCGAAGCTTACTGGTGCCCTACTCCCACCTGATATAGTTGGCCTAGGGTGGACCCATTTTTTTTTAAAGCTCCCCAGAGGTTCTAATGAGAAGTTAGGCTGGGAACTCCTGAGTCACGAGTGCTCTCTGTAGCTGAATATCACACTGTTTTCATCAAAGAAGAAAAAGGGGCAATCAGGTCCCTAACTGAGCTGTCTGATGGCCGCGGTGACAGGTAGCTCTAGCTTTGTACGTTCGTGGACTATTTGAAATGTCAATTCTGTAAATTTGCT